GGTGTTTGATTCTGGAATGAGAGATAAATGGTTTTAGCCCTACATGGTAAGATCTATTGTTAGCTACCCTATGTAATATTAGCTCTGCCTATTTCTCACAAAAATGCTAGAAAGTAACAAGACATGTTGGTAAAACATGTATGCCTCCTATCAGAAACCAATAAGTCATGTGGCTAGGCTATTGTGACTGACTTTTGACCTAGTGACTAAAGAATCAATAGGGGTTATCTACTGGCCATGACTAGTCACTAGGTCATTGTGACTGTAAAGGTTGTGTGCAGCAATTTTATGACAAAGTTATCACAAATCTTACCAAATAATATATGCATAAATTTATGAATCATGTAAGCCACCTTAATGACAGCCAATTTGTTATATTACATTAGACCTTGAAATGTGTATACCAAAAGCATCTTTAGTTTTATAAAAAATATCAACCAAGGCAATCTGAGTTGTTGAGTTATTGGTAAGAAACTGTTTTTTTACGCACAAAGTTAATGCGACTTTGACCCTTAAATCAATTAGGGTTATCTACTGGCCAAGACCTATGCACCTGTGAAGTTTGAAGGTAAAGGGCCAATGAGTTGTTGAGATATTAATTCAAAACTGTTTTTACCTATAAGGTCAATGTGCTCTTAACCTTTTGACCCTAAAAGTCCATTGAGGCCATTTACTGACCAAAATCAATGTATTTGTGAAGTTTGAAGATCAATGGTCCATGGGTTGTCAAGTTATTGATCGGAAACCATTCTTACGTACAAAGCCAATGTGACCTTGATCTTTGACCCCTTGAACCTAAAATCAATAGGGGTCATCTGCTGGCCAAGTGCAATACACCTATGAAGTTCTAGGTCCAACAGCCCATGGGTTATTAAGTTACTAATTGGAAACTGTTTTTAACTACCAGGTCAATGTGACCATGAACTTTGACCCATTGACCCAAAAATCAATATGGATCATCTGCTGGCCAAGATCAATGCACCTATTCAGATTGAGGGCCAAGGCCCATGGGTTGTCAAATTATTGATTGGAAACAATTTTTACCTACAATGTTTATATGACCTTGACCTTTGTCCCCTTGGCCCCAAAATCTAAAAGTTGTCATCCTCTTGCCAAGATTAATGCACCAACAAAATTTGAGGACCAACATTCCATGCGTTGTCAAGTTATGGATCAAAACCCAATTTTACCCACAAGGTCAATGTGACCTTGACCTTTGAGCTTACAAAAAGAAGATCACTGGATCAAAATCTAGGTCAACTGATAATTAAATTTTTCATTGGTAGATGTGCAAGTAATCCTGATCATAGCTGTAACTTTAAATACAAAAAAGAAGGTGTGGGGGTTATTATGAAGAAGAATTGAAATAGACAATGTTGCTTGCCAAATGTCTAAGCAATAGTTTGTAAAAATCCAGAAGAATAAAATAATTTTTACACATATTTGGGGCCTCCATAACTCCCTGTAATGGCAGGTCCCATTTTGACCTCAGATACTTAATTTGAACCTCCAGACTTCACAGTAGTTCATGAGTACATTGTGCTCAGGTGAGCTAAAAATAATACCATGTCAAAACAATTTGTCTTCAACAGTCAAATCATTACAAGGCACATTCTTTTTTTTCAATTTAACTTCATAAATCAAGTATGCATGATGATGAACTAAAACCCCTGCAAATATATTTCGGAAAACTTATCATATTATTTTACGAATTAACAATTATAAGCAGTATACCTTCACAATAGCAAGGTGTAATATATATTTAATGAAGCATATATTTCATCGAATTGCAGACAAGCGGAATAATTGATACAAGATGCTGGAGAAATTCATGACGTAAATTGTATACCGTGCCAAAAAAAGAGTCAGACTGCCGATGATTCCAGTCTTTTTTAATGCATAATTTGTAAGATTTCACTTCTCAAGAGCCAGTAATTCGCAAGAAAATTTGAAAGGAAAAAAAATGTTGTTCTTTTTTGTGCTGATGATAATGGTTGATGAAGTGCATTTCAAATTAAGTTTGCCTTTGACATTCAAACAAATAGCTGAAGGGAAATATTTTCAACAACTGGAAAAAGCAATTATATTATCTATGAAATTTTATGTTTTCTGAAATGCTGTTCTTTATGCAGTTTAAAAAAAAATGTCTTATTTTATTTCATATGTTGAAATACAAATCTTAAATGCACATTTTAAATATAAGTTTCTCAGATTTTAATTTCTCTGAGCAAGCTAGCTTTTGACAGAACTTTGCAATATCAATGATGCTTGGACTTGAGGAGAATTTGTTATAATAGCACCAATTTGCCAATGGAAAATTTGTTATAATAGCACCATTTTGATCATGGAGAATTTGTTAAAATAGCACCAATTTGCCAATGGAGAATTTGTTATAATAGCACCATTTTGCCCATGGAGAATTTGTTATAATAGCACTGTTTTGCCCATGGAAAATTTGTTATAATAGCACCATTTTGCCCATGGAGAATTTGTTATAATAGCACCATTTTGCCCATGGAGAATTTGTTATAATTGCACTGTTTTGCCCATGGAGAATTTGTTATAATAGCACCATTTTGGCCATGAAGAATTTGTTATAATAGCACCATTTTGGCCATGAAAAATTTGTTATAATAGCACCATTTTGCCCCATGGAGAATTTGTTAAAATAGCACCATTTTGCTCATGAAGAATTTGTTATAATAGCACCATTTTGCCAATGGAGAATTTGTAACGATAGCACCATTTTGCCAATGGAGAATTTGTTTAGCATCATTTTGCTCACAAAGAATTTTTATTATAGCACCATTTTGCCAATGGAGAATTTGTTATGATAGCACCATTTTGCCCATGGAAAATTTGTTATAATAGCACCATTTTGCCAATGGAGAATTTGTTATGATAGCGGTGCATTTTGCCCATGGAGAATTTGTTACAATAGCACCATTTTGATCATGGACAATTTATTATAATAGCACCATTTTAATTATGGAGAAATTATTATAATAGCACCATTTTGATCATGGAGAATTTATTATAATAGCACCATTTTGATCATGGAGAATTTGTTATAATAGCACCAATTTGATCATGGAGAATTTGTTATAATAGCACCATTTTGATCATGGAGATTTATTATCATAGCACCATTTTGATCATGGAGAATTTGTTATAATAGCACCATTTTGCCAATGAAGAATTTGTTATAATAGCACCATTTTGCCCATGGAGACTTTGTTATATTAGCATAATTTTGGTCATTAAGAATTTGTTATTTTAGCATCGTTTTTCCCCATCGAGAATTTGTTATAATAGCACCACTTTACCCATGGACAATTTGTTATAATAGCATCATTTTGCCAATGGACAATTTGTTATAATAGCACCATTTTGTAAATGGACAATTTGTTATAATAGCACTATTTTGCCCATGGAGAATTTGTTATGATCGCACCATTTTGCCCATGGAGAATTTGTTATTATAGCACAATTTTGCCAATCAAGAATTTGTTATGATAGCACCATTTTGCCTATGGAGAATATGTTATCATAGCATCATTTGCCCATGGAGAATTTGTTATAATAGCACCATTTTGCAAAATTTGCAATTTTGGAAAATTTTTAAAATTAAATGAGACTTACCTTGGTTAAGTCAATGTTTGATTTGAATTCTTTGAAGCAAAGAATTGAGTGAGGCTTAAAGAATTTGTTTTGATAACACCATTTTGCCCATGGAGAATATGTTATTATAATATCATTTTTGACAGACTTTCTTATATTTGTACATTTTGCCCTGTGAGATTTTCTTAGATCTGCAATTCCATTTTGCTCTGGCAGACTTTGTTAAGGTACCATTTGGCCAGTGATATTTTCTTATAACATTACCACTTTTCCCAGTGAGTCTCTTATAAAAGTACCATTTTGCCTAGTGAAACTCACTTTAATTGCACATTTTTGCCCAATTAGGCTATCTTTCTAGTAAAATATTGTCAATTAAAATGTATAATATTGAACTAAGTGCATAGTAGAATGCTGCACTTAGTTAAGTTGATTGTTAATATTGCACTAAGCTAACTTTAGAATAGCGTACTAAGTTCACATATCATATAAAATGAATAAAGAACCAGGTTTAATATCACTAATGGTACTAATTGATAAAAAACTAATAAAGCATGTTCATTACAACATTATTGTTAAAAAATACTGATATAATCGATTGCTTAAATCTGATAAAGATTAGTGTTCATATTAACCATAATAATTCTTGGTTGGTTCACTTTCCCTAATTTTGAGGATATTATTGAATCTGTATGTAAATTCTTCAGGTGATTTACTGTTTCAAATTGTTAGTATTCATGGTTTAGTTTTTTCAATTTTAAGGATGATACTGAATTCAACAGGGCATTAACAGTTTGAAGCGACTGTTTGTCAGAAAAAGTTGCTATTTCAATGGGAAGAAAGTCAACTTCAAGGGAAACCACTGATCAACCCAAATACTTTAGCTGTTTTGAGAATGTTGGAAGTAATTTCTAACAACACCTTAGTATATTATGTCACCTTAGTGTAGTAATGGGTTAATTTCTATTAAATCTAAAAGGGAGCCATTGCTGCACTAAGGTGAAGATAAATAAAATTTTAGTAATTTAATAAATGTTATATTATTAAAAGATTTTTGACAGATTATATGGCCGTTTAAAAACTGTTATTTTCATATGTAACCAAAGCCTCTAGACAAGGGTTATATTGCAAAGAACCATTTATATACAGCCATATAACCTTTCAAGAATCTCTATAACAAATTTATAGTACTGCAAACTTCCTTTTTAGAGAAAAAAAATGAGATTTCTTACATAAATTGACAGCAGCCATGTATATAAAACTATATTTCATGATTAGCAAATGAAAAGTGATGTTACAAACATATAGTATTATAAAGTTCAATCAATAATCTTTGATAAACAATAACTTATATCAAACAATGTATGTTACATAAGTTTTCCTTACCTTTGACACATATTAACTAGAGAATGATTGATATCTTGATTCTGTTTGATATACGAGGCAAGCTCGAGGGCCTCTTTCTGTAGGGCTGCCCGCCTCTCACGTAACATCACCTCCGTTATTCTATCTATGATCAAATGATTCATAATGGATTCCTGAAAAAGAAATTGTATGTCTGAGACATATTCTTATGTGTAGAAAAACTGTCCAGTATTTTATTATTTATACAGTCTTTTTGTTCAACCATTTTTTAATTTTAATACTCTACAATGACTACCTCCTAAATTTTGCTCTGCTTTGAATAGTTAAATATGGGTACTTCATTGACCAAAGGAGGGATTTCAGTATAAGCACAGTTTTAATACATTGCAAGGTTAGCAGACTGTGCAAGTTGACTTTGCTCTGTACAGTTTGTACAGTTCTGTTATCAATAACCATTAGCACTTCAGGGATTGATATATACCTTCTCTGGTCATATTTTCTTAAGATTTTGTTTGTTTACACAATTTGGAGAAACAGGAAAGATGATTTTGGCTAACATCAGGTGTTACAACCTTAATGCAACAGCAGGGGTCAAAACCACCTCACCTGCTGGAGCTAAAAGATGCATAGACTCCAGTAATTTGAACCCATACCATCACACAGGGATAAACAGTGGCGATTCTGATGCCTCAACCCTTCAAGGTGCAAGGGGGATCTCTTGAAGAAGTACCAGGAAAAGGGAGAAGAAATTACATCATCATAATTATGACAACTGTTGAGGCAGTATATTATGTGATTATTTTTACCACTAATACAAATTTCAAACATCAACATGCTGACATTCTGTGTGGGGAATTATTACCTAGACCATAAAATATATCTAAATTTACAAAACATTATGTATAATAGGTTAACCCTTATAAAACCATATGTTTTGTGGTTACTGTTAATCCAGGTTTTTATACAAAAATCTCATATACAAAACTCTAAGATTAGAAGCAATTACGTTAAAAGAAGTTTTATATTCAGACTAAATGAATGGCAAATATTTATGGAGTCAATTATGTTTGAAAGGTAACAAATTCAATTTAAAGAGTCATAAATTGATACATGTTCTTGAGACAGAGTAACCATTAAATAATTAGCTAGTGCTTGAAAAAAATTTTTTATGCAATTTAATAAATACATGGTGTGTATATGGCATGATATATATAAGTAGAGCACATTATCAAAGTGGACAAATTGTCCTTTTACTGCTTTACTGTTTGGATAGTTACATGCACTCTGTCGATTACTTTATAGCTTCACTGTTATATCTACTCTATGAATTCTATCAGGCAAGAACTTTGGTAGTTTAGCACAGAGGAAGGTCGTCTAGTACTGGTGTAACTCTCGGGAAACTACCGAAAAGGGGTAAAATGAAACAAACATACAAGCAAACATATCAGGAAAGAAGAAATGCTGACCTTTCTTAACCCTTCACCTCATATATACGCGAAACAACGCACTTTCGACCCCCCCCCCCCCTCTTTTTAGGCCTGGAATTAGTGAAAAAATGTCCTATTTGGGCCCCAAACACATGTTTTCGTTTAAGAAATGTTGCTAAAAAAAAGTGAGCACTTTTTCGGCGCCGCCCCCCATCCAAAAGATACATCAGAGGGTTGCCAGAAGGGGGATGTGGCCCCTTCTGTTTGGGGGGGTTTGAAGGGGGGCAGAGTCCCCCTCATCGCCAAGAAAATTTTGGACTTGTGAGAGGCTAAAAATGACCCCAGGTCATTCATAAGGTAACGTGTTAACAATGCTGAAAAGCCTTTGACTCTATCTCAATCCCTTGAGAAGTTGCAGCACTTTGAAATAAATTTTGATGGAAAAAATCGAGGCAAGATAGTGATTTTTGGCAATTTTGAGATGTCCCCTCGTTGCCATGGTAACAGGAAATTTAAGACTGAGCATGTCGTTACAAAGGCAATGGCCTAGTCAACATGTGTGCCAAGTTTGATCAGTATTGAAGCATTTTTCATAGTTTCATAGCAGTTTGAACTTGTAACCGGAGGCTTTTCAGTGAAAACAGCCATTTTTTACAATATGCTCATGGGGGAAAGGGTTAAGCTAGCTGGATAGCTTCCTCAATATCAATAATATTGACAAAGCCAGTGACCTAAACCACTTGTTCACAGAGGCCATATATGTTGCTAGAGCAAGAAAATCAGTGTTAAGAACCTTGACCCCGTATGTCAGCCAGTTAGTTTTCTTACATGAAAGAGGATTTACCTTTGTTTAACTTGACAATATCACTTTATTTCAAGAAATGTTACTTAAAATTTCTGATGATACCCATTCTTTCATATACAAGATTTGAAACAATGTGAAATCCATTTCCGACAATGAGCATTTCTATTTAAGCCAAGACATACAAGCAGCATTACCTGATTTAAATAATTGATTAATTATAAAGACAAATTTTATTGCAATCTACAACTACAATAACTATTACATTTAACATAGTCATTGTACACACTGTAGGCCAGGGTATTATGGTATTATCATATTTCCAGAGAAGGGAAGTTGCAGACCTGACAATGCTCTCAGCATTAAATCTCGTCACACAAATAATTCCTCTATTTGCATGAAACTATAGAGGTATCTTTTTATTTCTTATACAGGTTTGTACTGGTTGGTGAGTCAAAATAAAACCATGATCATTGTAGAAGCAAAAGAATATTGCAATGGACCAGAACAAGTGAAATTCAGTACAGAATAACAGAGTAATGATATTTTAATGCCCGACAGCTCAGTACAGAAAATTACAGAAGAAGAATACTGTTATATAAATGCACAAGAGCAAATACAACTCAGTACAGAATTACAGAGGAATATTTTAATGCACCAGGTAAAGCTCAACTCAGTACAGAATCAAAGTTGGCCTTATCATTCTATTCAAATTAACTAAAAAATCTTTTTTTATGTAATTTCTAAGGTTCAGTTAGCACCAGCTAAAAACTACTTACTTGACTCTATGATTCTTAGAGGTTAAAGTTGTTTTTATTTACAAGTTTTACACATGGCAGACATAGGATGAAAAAAAATCTGCTGCTTTAATTAGTTGAGTATTATTGTGAAAAAGATTACCAGATAGTAACAAAACAATTACTGAAAGAAACTTTACATGAGCAATTACCAAAAAGATATCTTTTTTTCCCCTCTTGCTTTTATTTTTTGTCTTGAGACTGGAAAAACAGTTTTAACTATTTAATTAGCTACAGATCAGTAAGTTCTACTGTTTCCATGTCTGACTCCTTTTGGCTAATTACATTTCTTGTCTTCATAATAACCTTCCAACAAAAACCCCTTGTGTAGGCAATAAAACAATTTAAACAATTCACAAAACATAACATTCAAGATTAATGGACTATATATTAAATTATAGCTGACAAACTTTTGGCATAATGCATCACTATGAACTTCAATGGAAAAAAAATAATGGAGTAAAAACATTATGTTAAATGACAATATCACAGCTTGAGTGGATTTTTGTTAAATCAAGTTTGTATTAGTGCTAAATGAGTGAAATATCTAGAAAGAAATGTTTATGTAATGTCTAAAATATATTTACAGTCTGTATTTTACTGACACTCTGCCAATAGGATGTCTTCAATATGTTTCTTTAGGATTTATAAATCCAACTGTATATAAGTCATATAAAATGCTTGTGTAACATCCACTTCATTGTTTCTTGGTAGATTTGTTAATTTATGCATGGACCCATTTGTCAGTTTCATAAATAAGCATTATTTAGGTTAATGCATGCATGGACCCATTTGTCAGTTTCATAAAAAACATTATTTAGGTTAATGCATACATGGACAAATTTGTTAGTTCCATAAAAGCTTTATTTTGGTAATACATGCATTTTATTTTGGTAATTTATGCATTTGTCAGTTTGTCAGTTTGTCAGTTTCATGAAAAACATTATTTAGTTTAATCTATGCATGGACCAACTTGTTAGTTTCATTAATACCCTATTTATAGTAATGGGTGTATTGTCAAGTTGTCAGTTTCATGAAAGGTTTATTCTATTATGCATTGACCAAATTATCAATTTCATGAAAACTGTATCTTGGTTTGCACATGCATGGACCAAAATGCCAGTTTCATGGAAACTTTAGTTTGTGCATATATGGAATAAATTGTCAGTTTCATGTAAACTGAGTTGATCTTGTTTTGCACATGCATGCACCAATTTGTCAATTTCATGTAAACTTTATCTTGGTTTGCACATGCATGGACCAATTTGTCAGTTTCATGTAAACTTTATCTTGGTTTGCACATGCATGGACCAATTTGTCAGTTTCATTTAAACTTTATCTTGGTTTGCACATGCATGGACCAATTTGTCAGTTTCATGTAAACTTTATCTTGGTTTGCACATGCATGGACCAATGTAAACTTTATCTTGTTTAATTCACACATGGAGCAATGTCAGTGTCCTAAAGCTTTATATTAGTAATGCCTGTAGGACCAAGTTGTCTATTGAAGCTTCACATAATTGACTGTATGATTTTCCAAATAATCTATAGCGTCATGATAAAACTGAATAAATTTTAATTTAAAAGTTTTGTCTGGCATGTTTATTTGTATAATTTTAACTGCATGCCTCCAGATGAGTGAATAAATTCTACAAAAAATTAAACTAAGAAAAACGTGATTTAAATCTATGTTTTATCATGTATGATAATTAAAGATGACCTTGCCATTGGTAAAGGTTTTCCTAATTAGAACACATTTTTATTTGGATAAAAAAATGGTAAAAGCTGTCCTAATTAGTACAATTCTTAATTTGATTTAAAAAAAAATAGTGCAAAGCACAAGAATGACGCTGCTTTAAAAACTAGTTTTATAGAAGTACTGAAATCTTCTCCTCATAAACTTTTTAGTAAAAAAGATGTAATTTAAGCGAAATGGAAAATGTAGTTTTTTTATTGCAAAATGCTTTTTACTGTGTATTAAAAGTTGTGGTATCAGACGTAACAAAAATTGAGTTTCATTTCCGTAATGGAATAATGAAAGAGAAAGAACCAGGTAATAAATGTTTCTAGTTTGTTGCATTTGTTCAAACACTCTTTTATGAGGAAAATTGTAACTGCATTATTGAAACAATACACATTTATAAGAA